GTATGATATATGTATATCAAATACAAAAAATATGAAAAAATATATATGTATTGTGCATGGTTATAAAAAACAATTTAAATTAGAATCAAATAATATCATAATATTATAAATATTTATAATTAAATTTAAACAAAAACTTAAAAATTCAACTCGGCTCGAATCAAATTTTATAAACTCAATTTGACTCAAAAAGATTTCAAGTTAGTTTTAAGTTATAAAATAAAATTAATTAACTCAAATAACTTTAAAAAAAATTTACTAGACTCGATTTGACGCTCAACCCTGTGGCTAATGCTTTTTATTCTTTATCTTTGTTAGCGGACAATTACATTAGTCTTGATATTCACTTTCTCTTTCACGTTGATCGTGGATATTTATTATTATTATTATTTTTTTAATAACTTTATTTTTATGATTTTTTATATCTTTTGGTATGCTTTCAATTTTTATTAGTTATTTTTGTTTAATTTTCTAGAGTTAAATTTGATATCGTATCGATTGATCAAGATGTTCTTTATTTGGTATCATGCTAATCTTTCATGCTTTAGATTAGATTTGGATACACGATCTGCATTTGAGATAATTTTCTCACAATACTCGATTCTAATTTACAATTGTTTGTGATCTTTTAATAATTTAATCTCCTAATGTGATTTGTTTTTCGATATAATCGGATATGTTAGTATATATATTTTGTAGAGTTTTTTTTATGAGTTTTTAACTTTTTTCTTTATACGACACATGTACGATCCTAAGTAGTTAGTTTATTATGTTGTACAAAATATTATAAATATCTATTTAGTTGTAATTTTAGATATTTCTTAGGTTTTAATCAAAGTGGTGGTTTCTATTAAAAAAAATCGGTGATTTTGGGATTAAATTGAACTAAAAGCATCTTTAGATACCAAAATAACATTAGGTTCAAAATAGCATTTCAAAAGAAAGAGAGAGCATTAGCAATTTTGGCGGATGCACCACAGAGAGGAAAGCTAAAAGAATGCATGGTCGGCCTCGCAAAGTAATCAAACCGGAAGACGAAGCAGCTTCTGCTGCGAAAGCCCAGAAGCTACGCGATCTCCAAGCTCAATTCTTCTCTTATCGCCGCGATAAAATGTGCGTTTTTCATTTATTTTTAGTTTTTTTCTTCTAATGATCTTCTTTATCATTTTCTCTGTTTTGTTCTATTTTAATTTTGTATTGCGTTTTCTCGTTTCCCGATTCTTTATATGTAAATAAATGGTCAGTTACACTAAAGAGGCAGTCGAAGTCAGTGCTAAGCTTCTTGAGATCAATCCTGAATCTTACACTGCTTGGAACTATATAAAACTCGCTGTTGAGCTTTGTCTGAGTCAGCCCGCGTCTAACTCTGAATCGGTCAAGTCCATTCTCGATGAGGAACTCAGAGTGGTACGCCCGCGAAGATTTGATTTTTACTACACTAATTTTTGTTCACTTAATATGATTTTGTCCAATTTCATTTTAAGGGGATCAATCCTGAATCTTACACCGCTTGGATTGGAACTATATAAAACTCGCTGTTGAGCTTTGTCTGAGTCAGCCCGAGTCTAACTCTGACTCGGTCAAGTCCATTCTCGATGAGGAACTCAGAGTGGTGCGCCCGCGAAGATTTGATTTTTACTACACTAATTTTTGTTCACTTAATATGATTTTGTCCAATTTCATTTTAAAGGCATCGGTTTTTTTTCTTTTTCCAAATGTAACTGATTGAATGAGGTTGCATAGGTAGAGAGTGCATTGAAGCAAAATCCTAAGTCCTACGGAGCGTGGCATTATCGTAAATGGGTTTTAAGCAAGGGCCATTCAGCGGCGGATAACGAACCGAGATTGCTGAACAAGCTCCAGAAGGTTGATTCTCGTAATTTTCATGCTTGGAATTACAGGAGGTACATTCACTTTGGCTTTTTCTGTTTTTATTCATGATGTATGAAGATATGGGGATGTTACTTATTTTTGTACCCCTCCTGTTTTTTGTGTTTTTTCCTTCCCCCAGATTTGTTGCAGAGTTAATGAACAGAGCAGAGCAAGATGAACTGAAGTATAACGAGGATATGATTTATACGAATTTCAGCAACTACTCGGCTTGGCACAATCGCAGGTAAAATTGTTTCTTTAAATCTTAAGGTCCAAGTGTTTATCTTCCTTTTCTATGGCAATTTAATGAATGTATGTAGGAGGTGAATGCTAATTCTTTGTTTGATGAACTAATTGGGTATTTGTGCTAGCTGCTTCTGAACGTCTGCCATAGCTTTATATTGAGGAATAGTAGTAATGACAGTGAATCAAGTTCTAGCAATTCAATATAATTTCTTTTTGTCGGTTAATCTATTTTTCATTTGTGAACCATCATTGAAAAAAATACCATGTGGTTGTTGATGTATAATGTTTCTCTCCATGTTGAATATGTCTTCTGGTGATGCCTACTGTATGAATAATTTCTACAGTCTACTATTGTCCGCTTTACTTGAGAAAAAGGCTGAAGGGTTTCTCTCCAAAGAGAATGTCTTTGCAGAGGAGTATGAGTTTATACACCAAGCTATATTTATGGACCCTGATGATCAAAGTGGATGGTTTTATCATCTTTGGCTTCTAGATCAGACTGTTACAACTGACTCTCCTCTCCTTGTTTCTTCTAAATAGTTATTTAAACGGTTCTAGTTTTTCTCCATTCACAACTTTGCGTTCTGATTCAGGGTCATTTCCAATTGTTCTTTATTTTAATCAATATGTTTCTGGTGTAAGCTCATCTACAGTTATTGTTGAATCCGGGTTTAGTAAAAGTGAAGATATTGTTTGGAAACCACTTTCACTGAGCCAGTTGCAAACTGCACAAGTTTGGGTTGCACATATAAAATTTCTGATTCAGTCAAAGTTAGTGTTGGGCATTCTAAGGGAATCACTTCAAAAGAGGGTCTCAGTATAGTTATACTTCACTCTTCAGTGTTTTCATTTAAAGTACATGCACAACCTAGTTAAAGAGATTCCCCTCAAGATTCAGTTTCAGAAAGTATTTTATGGAGAGAAGAGAATCTTAAGTTGTATGGAACACAATCTGAGGAAGCAATCCCTACCGTCTCCTTTGATCAACTAAATATTAGGAATGATCATGAACCGACTGCATCAAATTGGCAGGCAGAGTTTTTAACCGAAGAGATTGACTGCTTCCGTGAATTGTTACCGTTGATGGACTGGTAAACCTGTTTAATTTAATAAGTACCTTACTGAACTTTTTAGGAAGAAAACATTGTTAATACGATTCCTTTTTCTTTGCCCTTCTGCTTTTTAGTAAAATTGGAAAGCTTACACTTGCAAGATTGTTGATGGCTTATGATGCAATATCATATTCACAAGCTAACAAACCGGTTCATTCTGAAGTCCTTGAATTGTATAGCGATTTGATGAAGTTGGATCCATCACGTTACCAATACTACAAGAATGTACAAAGCTTAGTTTTAATACAACAGGTGGCTACATTCTATTCTCTGTAATTTTGTCACCAAAAGCATCAGTATTTAAGCTTTAGTTTCGGATTATAATTATTCCTAAGGTCTTGGTATAAGTAGCCAGATGTTTTATACAACTTTGACAATATTTATTTTACTTGTTAGGTTGTTTTATCTGGGAAAATAATCCTGAGGGACTGTTAAATATATGTTTATTTGATTAGTAGTTTCTGGGGAAAAGCCTTCTCCGGATGGCTAAATTTAGGCATTAGAAAGTTTCTGCTAATGTTGGTCCTTTGCATTGTCACAAATTTTTTATCCCCCTTCCGCTGTAATGATAAGATGTATTTTTCCACTCTTGCTCTAACTTCTGGTATAAGATTGTCAGTTACATGGAGGCTAACAGCACACCTTTTGTCTATCTGTTCTGTAGGTGACTTCTAAGCGGGAGTCTTTGCTGAAATATTGCTATCAGATTAAGGACTCACTTTCATCAACTATTTACAGTCCTATCTGTATCCGGTTGAATAATTTATCGCTATCACGAAATGGAGCTTTCAAGAAATTGCTGTGGGTCCAAATATTATATCTCAGCCACAATGAACTACATTCAGTTGAAGGTATGGTACTGACAATAATATTCAATATATTGTTTGTCGAGTTGGAGATTATTCAATCATTTCCTTACACTTGATCCTCCCATAACCATTAGTGTTTCTTATATATTCTTGTCTTCACAGTTTCTCACCCCCTCACCCTTTTTATGCTTAAAAAATTACAAAAACCTTGAATTCGTATTTGTAAACTATGGATGGCGTTCCTCCTTGTTTGGGACATTTTCCCCTTCATACTTGTAGTTTGCAATGTGATTAATTGTCATGCGACAATTTACATAATGATTTTGGAGTAGAACATTTTACTTCTGTCCACCGATAATCCTTGTAAGACTCATGGTGTTATGTTGTTAATCTTAATGGTAGGATTGGAAGCTATGCAGCTCCTCTCTTGCTTGAATCTGAGAAACAATAAAGTGAGAAGTTTTACAGCTCTGGATCCTTTAAGAAAGCTGAAGTCGTTAAGAGTATTGGATATTTCATAGAATCAGATCGGTGAGCATTCTATTGACACAACCAGGTACTTGTGCTCTTCTCCTTTGTCTCATTCAGTTGGAAGTGAATTGAACAAAGAAGAAACCGTGATCGGTGATGTTGCTCTAATTAACCAATGGGAGGCATTTTTCATTTTTAAAGAGTTGAAGTTGAAGCAATTAGATATTATAGGGAATGAAATTGTCGATGAGAAATTTAAGTCGATTCTGACCAAGGTTATGCCGTCGCTGAAGCAACTGGATGGTGAACTATTGCATTAATTTTTCAATTTGTTTTCTCGGTAAGTTCATATTATTGGAGACAAAAAATACTTTATTTCCTTTAAATTTGGTACATATACACACTGTTTTAGAAAATTGTTAGAGCTTAAATTTTAATGGGATTAACCATCTTCCAACTGGGTTAAGATAACACCTACGGTTGCGTAGGATCAAATAGGGCCATTCTCGTTGCGTCCCGTATGCATCGACCGCAACGATGACTTTAGCAACTTCTTTAGTGCTTCTACAATGTTAGCAAAAGATGGCCGTTGAGCAGGATCGCTGCAAATGAATAAAATGTAGGCATCTGTAGTTAGAAAAATGCAATGTAGAAGAATAATATGAGATGCCATAACACATAATACAAGGCCATTTAGCTTTCATAAAATGATATTTGAAAAATGATAAGCAATGTGTTGAACCATAACATGGATGGAGATCATTTTCAACGTTTCTTACTCTAGCGAGTAATTGTCCTGTTGCAATCATTAGCGCCTTTACTGACACGACCCTTTTGTCGCCATAGTTAACACCCCAAATAGAACTTTTCTGTTAGCACTTCTAGCGGTGAAGCTGTTCGCCACTATACTGGCACTTATATTGACAACAAAATATTCTCTCGCTGTTTAGGGTTTAGATTATACTTTTGTCCATAGTCGGAAACCCTAAATAAATCCCAAAGTTTTTGGTTAAATTACACCATAAGTCATTGTATTATAAGTTTGTAATTTTATCATTTTATTTCAAAAGATCATAGTCAAATCAATCTATGTATTGATTGTAACAATCATATTGTTACATAATTAAAAACAAAGTGATCTGATTGTTACAATCAATAAATATAATGACCTGATTGTAACATTTGGAATATGATTACTCAATTACAAATTTACTCATAATACAGTGACATGTGGTGTAATTTAAGTTTTTTTCTTCAAATAACTATGGTAACCTGTCAAGGAAACATCTAAAGCAAGGTGGGCTATACATCACCTACCCAAACACACCCACAAATATCCCCTTCCTGTCATTGTTTTTAGAGGGTAATGCTTGCTTGCAAAAGGTAGGTCTAGACATTTACAGCAATTATCAAAAATGAAAGTGCAATGAAGTACTCACTCAACCCAACAAGATTCCATGAGAGAAGCCAATTTTGAGGAGATATTAGGAGGAATGGCCAGCCTCCTGTTCTGGAAAGCTACAGCACCAACCACCTATATATAAAGGAGGGTAAGGGGAGAATCAAGTTTACAGCAAAGTGCGCTTTCATTGCCTTTTATTTGCACCTCTTTAACAATAATAACAGTTACGTTTATGATTGTATACGGTAAGGGGGGAAAACCCAAAATATACCCCACCTGGGCAGGACTGAGTCCACTCCATGGTTGTTGCATTGTCACAAGCTCCCATAGGATTACTCCGAAACTGTAAACATCAGATTTCTCATTTGAAGGCTCTCCACGAAGGACTTCCGGAGCCATCCATTCAGGCTGAAAAACAAAAAAAAAATGATCATTTATATGCTGATTGATGGAAATATCCAACTCTTAAACAGAATAAAGTCATTGTAAACTTTACAGGGAAAAGGTTTATGACGGTCAATATGATTCTTAGTGTTCCAAAACGAATTATTATGTTATGTTTTGACATAAACCAGATATCAGTTGGAAACAGTTGGTGAATAACTAGTAATGCTAAATCAAATAACTAAGTTATTTGAAACAATTAGCTCTAGAATAAAGCTCAGCGACTACCTATTGATCTTGCAGACATTCTAGTGCTGGTGTGTGCATTTGATTGTCTTTGTTAAAATGCGGTTAGGAAGTACTTACCGTTCCCGCAACAGGTTTTGATAATATAAAAGTGTCGGCTTTGAACCTAGACAATCCGAAATCACAGACCTACACAATGACATGAAAAGATGAAGCCATGCGTTTAAACCAACAAGTGTGTAAATTTCTTTATAGCGCTCAGATTTAAACCTTACCTGAAGGACATAGTTCATTCAAGAACTTAAATCCTTCATGGTACCTTAAAATCATGTATTACTGTATCAGTTGAAGACAATACTCTGAGTCTTTAATTTAACAGGATTTAAGTTCTTGAATGAACTATGTCCTTCAGGTAAGGTTTAAATCTGAGCGCTAGAAAGAAATTTACACACTTTATTAGAACTTAGGAAAATAAAAGAGAAAATATTCAACAGGCTTAATTGGAAAATGATGGCGAATAATGCATAAGAGTACTGGAATTTACATCGAACTCATTAGTTAAAAGAAAAGATTAATATCGGAATCATCATGAAATTAGGCCATAAATGATATTTAATTGCAATAAATAAATACTAACCGATCCGTGCCACACAGCACGATGTACCGTTCCAAATGAGCCTGCAAAATGGGATTTGAAGCAGAAGTTACTACCGGCTTCGCCAATTATCTTATGAGATAGGAGCCAAAGGCTTAAATCAAAGAAGTGGAAAATTATATTAAACAAGAAGAAGAAAAATTACCAGCACCAACATGCTCCTTAATATGTAATTCATCCCATGATATCTCAAGCCAATCCATTGCAAGAGAAGGTTCAAGATCTAGATAACTTGAGGTGGATACGGAAGAGAATCTTCCCTGACTATCAAGTTCAGCCCCTATCTCCTCCAAATCTGACTGACTAGGCAAGTTGATTTTCAATTGCTTCACATCATTTACCACTGAGCTTCCAGATACAACGGCCTCTTTTCGAAGGGTTTGTTCTGTGACAACTTTCTCGCCACGGGGTCCAGAATGTTCATGTATTGTTGCTCCTGAAGCTGTTTCGAAAGGCATCAAAGATGATTCCTTTCCAAAACAGTCTTGATCAACTTGTGTCTTTTGACTTTCAAGCAAACCAGTGTCCAACCGTTGAACAACTGCAGGAGATTGATCACCACTGTGTAATTTGGTTTTGAAAAATTTGGTCTATTTTGCTGAATTTGTGTCCAAAACTTCACGTACCAGAATGTGGAGGATTCTCAGAAAGATAACTTAAATCCTTTGAATCTGTAATCTGACCATATGATGCATTCTCGAGGCAAGGTAATTGGAATTCTTTTAGATGAGAAATTCGAAATGGTGAAGGCAAAGATGAAAGAAATTCTCCATTGATAGAGGAATCTGGACCGTGGATATTTCCAGGCTCCCCAACTAGATCAACAACATATTCCCTGTTTTAAAAATGTATTCGTCTCTGAGCAACAAAAGAACAAAAAGGAAAGAGAAAATTTTTAAGAAAGGGCATATATAGACAGAACATTACTCTATCGCTAAACATAGAAGCTTTCACCTTTTTACATACATACATAACATTCAGAAGTGCGGAGGACTGTGATGCAATCAAGTCTAAAAGATTTAGATTACTAAGAAAACATAAAACAGACGAGGTCAAAGAATAACTAATCTCTTAATGGAAGTTTTTTCAAAGACAGCATAAACTTATTCCTACTTATTTTGTTAACTCCCAACATTCTAAAAGTTGAGTATATTACCTTGTTGACTTCCGGTCATCTTCAATTTTGACAAGGCATGAAGAACGGTGATCTGCTGCACAATAATTGCATCCTCGAGCAATCCTACATGGCAAACCTATATAGTCGGCTAATGTCTGCAAATGTAAACAGTATACCACGTTAGTTAAGGACTGACAAAAGAAACATTTCTGCAACATCATTAAATATTACATCAACATTAGAAGGGTGATCAGGCCGTTAGTGAACAAATACATTTTAGACATCAACATATGCATAGAAAACTAAAGTCAAAACACTCATCCTTCATCTGATATCCTGATCTAGCAGCATAAAGCCATAAAATAAACAAATATGCTGCATAAATTCATCATATGACACATGATTTCAGAAGGAAAAATCCATTAAAAAAGGTGAAAACATGTGACTAAGCAAGAAGGAAATTAGCCTGATCCTCATTGGATGATCCCATGAGAACTAAAAGTTTCACGAAAACCTTGTCAATTCGTCATAGCAGGCCACAAATACTTCATTGAATGATGATGGAATAGGGAGTACTCATAATTGACTGCTACATAATTCTGGGTGTCACTGATGCTTTTAATTTAGTCGCAATACTGATGCTCCCTGTTAAGGCATTCATATATGCTTTAAAAAGTTCTTGTACTTCAAGATATCATGACCATTGCTACGGAAACTTTTATAACAGGGCATTTCAAATAATATAGTAATAATCTTATCTAAATTGTATGTAAATGTTATATTTGCTAGCTTAGTAAATCATTCAAATTATAATTCATATGATGTTTCCTGCAGCAAAGCTCTATAGGGAATATGTTGAAGCCATTTTTATCAAGGCCCGGGTTGGATTTGTACGCTAACCATACTGGGATAATGAAACCGTAAATATATATAGAAGCCCTTTAAAAAATCAAGGTTCTGAAAGAAAAAATACTCCATCCCTTTTTCCAAACTTCCCAAAGATAAGTGCCAACTGTTTTACATCCCAACACAGACTAAGCAGCAATAGATTATCTCCTTCTTCAGCTCATTATTTTGCTCAACCTACTAATTAAAATTAACTTTCTTTTGACAAAATTTATATGGTGAACCTACAATGAATCCATTGCCAATACTAAAACAAGGAGTACTTTGTATTGTTATTCAAAGCCACATCACAGTAGAAGCCTAATCCAACCGAGTATTCAACCACTGACTCAAAGTATACCAAGTACCTTTGCAAAACAATGGTTTGATTTCGAAGCAATATCTACAAGGATCAACAAAAAATCTTTGTAGTTTATAACAATAAAAGTAGGGTTTGTATTTGATGCACACTAAGTCTATACACAGTCAATGACCCCTCACCATGACACGTCAAACAAACAATATCAAAATTCCTTAAAAATAAATAATTATATCTTTCATAAATCATAGGAGATCCCTAAAACACCTCCATTTTTTTTTTGAGTATGTGTGTCTGTGTTTGTCATTGATGTGGAGGGAAGTTGTGCCTTAGTAGATAAAGTGCAACTAAAAAGGCATTTCTTTTGATACCTTAAATAGGATTGCACGATGCCTGCAAAGTCCCATGGAGAGGCTGCCAATGGGCAGCACAACACACTTCTGAAAATCCCTCAATCTCCAGCTGGCCACTTTCCAGCGTTTGTGGAGATCCCCATGCTCCACTTGAAAGGTTCCCCTGATTTTAGAACAGTTCAAGCACAAATAGAAATCGATAATAATCAGTAAAAAAGAAATAAACCACTAGCAAAAGACAATATAACTTACCCAATGTGGATTGCAACAAGCTTTTGAACCAACACAAGGGAGTTTTCTGAAGCACAATATAATTTCTGTGCTTTATTTTCAAGCTCTTTGAGGCGCGTATCCAGGCGTCTATCAACAAGAACAATCTCCATAGAGGTGTCGCTGGGTTCAATCTCTTTAAGAGACATCAAAGGTGGTAAGCGTCTTCCTTCTTCAAATTCATTACACATCACCCATAGACATGGATTCACCCCAAGAATGTTATAAAAACCGACAGATATCTTATCACTATATGATAAACACCCGCTAACCTGCAAATTAAATATAAACCCATTACAATAATACAAAAATCATAAACGGTTACAAAACTTGACGGAAATTTGAATGTGAAATGCCTAATCAGAAGATAATATAAAAAAAAGAAACCTATATTCAAGTGGAAATGATGAGAAAATATCCAAAGACGATAAGAAACAATTTCTGCATCGGCGACACAAGGTCCGCAGTACTCTTGTAACAGCAAGGGTTCAGTGAGGAGACTTGCTTGAGAAGTAAGCCTTCTAACAATCGTAAGTTGTAAATCATAGCTCTCCTTTGACTTGAGCGCTAAGTTATCTTTTATTTCCTCCTCTGCTTCCAGTCCCTTAACTGTTGAAAAGTCAGCAATATAGGCACTGAAAGTGCCTATAATTAATGCACCGAAATTTTAGTTGAATTTTAGAAATGATACAATATCACATTTAGTCATTGTACTTTAAGGTATTTTCAAGATTAATCCTTAAGCTTTAACTATAAATGTCCTAACCCATTTAGCTTCAAAATCATCCCAAAACATTCTAGCTTTCTTCCAATACTAGAGAATTTATAGAGTTTTTTGAGAGTTGTTTTCTCTTTTTTATCAAGAGAGAATTGTCATTATTTTCTCCTTGGTAGATCGAGAGAAGTTGTAATTCTTATTTTCTCATAGTGAAATTCTTCTACCGTTGTCCGTGGTTTTACCTTATATTATTTAGGGGTTTTCCACGTAAATTTTGTGTCTCTTTTATCTTCATTTTTTTATTTTCTCAAATTATTAGTTGTGATTTTGTTCTATCCGATAGCCGTCTTCCGCAACAATTGGTATCTGAGCCAGATTTGCGTGTGTAATATCTGCTTATTGTCTTTGTGGTTGCCACCAAAAGGTGGATCCTTCAACATAAGAAAGTAAGAAGGTATTACCCATTCTTTGAAGGTTCTAGAGAACTATTCACGATAGTGAAATAGTGGGAGTTATCCGTAATAGAAGCTATGGAAACGAAATTTGATATTGAAAAATTCAATGGGAGAAATTTCTCATTGTGGAAATTTAAGATAAAAGCTATCATAAGGAAAGATAGTTGTCTAGCAGCTATTAGTGAAAGGCCAGTAGATTTCACAGATGACAACAAATGAATCGAAATGGACGGGAATGCTATGGCAAAATTTCATCTAGCATTAGCAGATGAAGTATTGTCAAGCATTGAGGAGAAAAAGACAGCTAAGGAGATACGGGATCATCTCACCAAATTGTACGATGTCACATCGTTGCACAATAAAATTTTCCTTAAGAGGAAATTGTATACTCTCCGGATGCCAGAATCTACTTCAGTGACAGAGCACTTAAACACGCTGAACACTTTATTTTCTCAGCTTACATCCCTAAGATGTACAATAGGAGAACAAGAACGTACTGAACTTCTACTTCAAGGTCTACCTGATTCGTATGATCAGCTCATCAACAATTTGACAAACAGTAATGTCACCAGTCTAGTCTTCGATGACGTTGCAGCTGCTATTCTACAAGAAGAAAATCGGCGCAAGAACAAAGAAGACAGACAAGAAAATCTGCAACAAGTAGAAGCGTTGACAACGATGAGAGGGAGATCAACAGAACGTGGCCAAAGCAACAGTCACAAATATGATAGATCGAAGTCAAGAAGAAAGAAGAATTTAAAGTGCTACAATTGTGGAAAGAATGGTCACTTGAAGAATAATTGTTGGAGTATAAATAAAAACTCCAATCCTCAAGGCAATACCGTAAACACTTCAGATGATGGAGATGTTCTATGTTGTGAAGCGTCAACCACCGTGGAAGGTAGAAAAATATTTGCAAATATATGGCTCATTGATTCAGGAGCAACATATCACATGACCTTAAGAAGAGAATGGTTCCATCAGTATGAACCTGTCTCAGGAGGATCTGTGTATAGTTGCAATGATCATGCCTTAGAGATCGTTGGCGTGGGAACCATCAAATTGAAGATGTATGATGGAACAATTAAAGTTGTTCGAGATGTGCGGCACATGAAAGGCCTGAAGAAAAATTTGTTATCCTACGGATTGTTGGATAATAATGCAAGCAAGATTGAAACACGGAAAGAAATCATGAAGGTGTTCCGTGGAGCGCTTGTGGTGCTGAAAGGCGAAAAGATAGCAACAAACTTGTACATACTGAAGGGAGAGACTTTGCTAGAAGCAGAAGCCTCTGTTGCCTCATATAGTTCAGATTCTGCAATGCTATGGCATCAGAAACTTGGACACATGTCATAACAAGAAATGAAAGTCTTTGTGGAGCAAAAGCTACTTCCAGGCTTAACAAATGTATCCCTTACTTTGTGTGAGCATTGCATAACAAGTAAGCAGCACCAGTTGAAATTCAACACATCAATTCTAGAGGCAAAAGTGTTCTAGAACTGGTTCACTCTGACATATGGCAAGCACCAGTTACATCTCTAGGCGGAGTAAAATATTTTGTCTAATTTATTAATGACTACTCTAGGAGATGTTGGGTGTACCCTATTAAGAAGAAGTCATATGTGTTTTCAACTTTCAAAAACTTCAAAGCGCGGGTGGAACTTGATTCTGGAAATAAGATCAAGTGTTTCAAAATAAATAATGGAGGAGAATAAACAAGTGAAAAATTTGATGACTTTTGCAGGAAAAAATGCATCAAAAGACAGTTCATACTGGCGAACACTCCTCAACAAAATGGAGTGGCAGAGCAGATGAACAGAACCTTGTTAGAAAGAACAAGAGCAATGTTGAGGGATGCAGGCCTAGAAAAATCATTATGGGCAGAAGCAGTCAATACCGCCTGTTATTTGGTGAATCGAGCTCCATCAACTACAATAGAGCTTAAGACACTAATGGAGATGTGGACTAGAAAACCAGCTAATTATTCAAACCTCCATGTATTTGGAAGTATTGTGTATGTGATGTATAACTCCCAATAAATTTCAAAACTGGATCCAAAATCCAGGAAATGCAAATTCTTGGGGTATGCTGATGGTGTAAAGGGGTTTCTCTTGTGGGATCCCACTGTCCGCAAAGTGATCATCAGCAGGGATGCTATCTTTGTAGAAGATAAACTACAAAGAAAAGAAGACGATGATAGCGCAAAAAAGTCATAAACTACACAGATACATATGGAAAAGGAGGTTGAACAAGGAGATTCTTCTGAAGCAGAACCAGAGAGTTCTGAAGCTCCAACAACTCGTCAATCAGATCGTGTGAGAAGACGTCCCAATTGGCACTCAGATTATGTTATAGAAGGAAATATTGCATACTACCTTTTAACAGAGGATGGTGAGCCGTCAACATACCAGGAGGTAATAAACAACTCAGATGATTCACTATGGATGATGGCGATGCAAGAAGAAATTGAAGCCCTTCATAAAAATAATACATGGGACATTGTGCCACTACCACAAGGAAGGAAGCCAATTGGTAACAAATGGATCTTCAAAATCAAGCGAAATGGTGACGATCAAGTAGAGAGGTATCGTGCAAGACTGGTGGTCAAATGATATGCTCAAAAAGAATGTATTGATTTCAATGAAATCTTTTCTCCTGTGGTTCGACTAACAACAGTTCGAATAGTCTTGGCAATATGTGCTATATTGAACTTACATATAGAGCAGCTAGATGTTAAAACAACTTTTCTTCATGAAAATCTTGAAGAAGAGATTTATATACTCCACCCTGAAGGTTTTGAAGAAAAAGAAAAGAAGAACTTGGTTTGCAGGTTGAACAAATCTCTGTATGGTCTAAAGTAGGCGCCGAGGTGTTGGTATAAGAGATTTGATTCCTTCATTTTGTGCCTTGGATACAACAGACTTAATGCAGACCCTTGTGCCTATTTCAAGAGGTCTGGTGATAACGATTTTGTTATATTGTTGTTGTATGTAGATGACATGTTGGTTGCAGGACCCAACAAAGATCATATTGAATAATTGAAGGTACAACTGGCTAGGGAATTTGAAATGAAGGACTTGGAATCAGCAAACAAGATTCTAAGGATGCAAATTCACCTAGACAAAATTACTTGAAGAAGATTTGGCACGATTCAACATGCAAGATAGTAAGCCAATTTCTACCTCTCTTCCTATTAACTTCAAATTATCCTCCAATATGAGTCCTAGCAGTGAAAAAGAGATGATGGAGATGTCTCGAGTACCGTATGCATCGGCAGTGGGATGTTTGATGTTCGCTATGATATGCACAAGACCAGACATTGCACAAGCAGTGGGAGTGGTTAGTCGGTACATGGAAAATCCAGGTAAAGAGCAATGGAATACAGTAAAGAGAATCCTGAGATACATCAAAGGGACCTCAAATGTTACCTTATGTTACGAAGGATCAAATTTACTTATCAATGGGTATGTTGATTCTGACTATGCATGGGATTTGGATAAAAGCAAATATACTACATGATATGTGTTTAAGGTTGCTGGTGGAGCTCTAAGTTGAGTTTTAAAATTGCAGTCAGTTGTGGCTACATCCACAACAGAGGCAGAATATGTAGCAGCTACACAAGCCAGTAAAGAAGCAATTTGGTTGAAGATGCTATTGGAGGAGCTTGGGCACAATCAAGAGTATGTCTCTCTGTTTTGTGACAGTCAAAGCACCTTGCATCTAGCAAGGAATCCAACATTTCATTCAAGGACAAAACACATACGAGTTCAGTACCATTTCATTCATAAAAAGGTGGAAGAAGTGACGGTAGATATGCAGAAGATCCATACCAAAGACAACATAACATATTTCATGACGAATGCAGTAAATGCTGATACATTTACTTGGTGTCGATCCTCTTGTGGTATGTCAGAGACGTAAGCAGTATGATGGTACAAGGTAGAAAGAATGGTGTAACATCCCAAATCAGGGTCAGTGATTAAATTGTAAATTTTAAAAACTATGTGCTCGATTTCGAAATAAGTTAAAAGTTCATGGATTTAATTGAAGAAAGTTGATGTTGGATTTAATGGTAAAGTTTGGAAATAACAAGGGTATTATGGTCTTTTCTAAGAGAAGATTTTTATTCTTTTTTTAGGGATATAAAAACGTGGGAAATGAGATAATTTCTCCAGAGTATTCTTTTGTCTTCTTCTTCCTCCTCTCCACCGTGAAGCCTTGTATAAGGTAAGTGGGTCTTCAGTTGGTTAATTCTTTTGTTTTAAAGCTTGTTTTGATTCTTGGGATGTTAAGAAAGATTAAGGAAAGCTTTAGGTGGCTTAAAACTCAAAGATTATCAAGTTATGAGAAATTAAGAAAAATGAGTTTTTAAGTGAATTTTTGAAATAGAAGGAGTTAATAGATTTTGAAGTTTAATTTAACTTGTCAAGGGTTAAATTAAGAGATATGAAGTGATAGAATGAGTTTTAGAACATGTTGGAAATTTAGTGTGATTCTTGAATGCCATGTAAATGATAGAATTTTGAGTTTAAAGAAGTGATTATGGAGTATAAATGAGTTTAAGTATGTGTATGAAAGTTAGGAATATTAAAGGGAGTGAAGTATGAAGTGTTGAGCTGAAAATGAAGTGATTTTCGAGCTAAAAATATGATTTCTGGGCTAGGGGAATCGATACCCATTCAAGGGGAATCGGTACCCATTCAAGGGGAACCGATACCCCTTCAAACGAACAAAAATTTTCAGAATATCATGAGGGAATCGATACCCCCATAGTAGGGAACCGATTCTCTCTAAAGGAAAATTGTGAATATTGGTTTAATAAGTTCGTTTAACTTGCTAGTATCAATTACAAGGTATAGGTATCTAATAATTGTCTTAAAATGTATAATTATGTAGATTCAGAGCCTAATCAAGTTCTGGAATCATTGACAAGTAAGATCGATCAAGGGGAAAGATAAGAGATTGAAATTGACTAGTGAGGCCAAGTGAGTGCATACAAGTTAGTTTATGATGTTTAACGGAAATAAGACTTGCGACAAGTCTATTTCCTATATTAGAAGGCCTGAATGTATGATCATATGCATATGTTTGATTTGGGTATATGTGATATATATATTATAGTATGTATTAAATGATTTGTGTGAATGCATGTAGTGTGATAAGTTATAGGAATTAATATGAATGATCTATATGATTACATGATAATGTGAAATAGGTTATATGATAGGTGATCATACATGTTACATAGTAAATGTGATCAATTATAAGAATCAATATAATAGATTTATATGACTACAGGAGAAGGGTGATGAGTTAAATAAGATTAGACTATAGAGTAATATGAGAATAATATATTATTGAAGGGAATTGAGTATAAATGAGGATGCTAAACTATAAGATAAGTGTTATAGAGAAGAAGTATATTTAAAGAGAATTATGGTATAGGATTTAAGTAAAATTTAACTAAATAAATAGATTAAACTGGTATAAATGGAAAATGAGATAAGTTAGGTAGCATTTACCTAGGAGATAACATAAGATTATATGAATAAGTAACATAAATGACATAAGGAAAACTTATGTGTTATATGATTTAAGCATTGAAATGAACAAAAGATATATTCAGGTGAAATTATTCGATGATATGAGTATATGCCATTATTATACGGTTTAGATGAAATACTATACATGAATAAATGTGATTGTGTGAGAAATGATAGAAACTATATGAGAACATGTATATGTGAAAGTAATCCATGTGATTATATATTATATGAATACAAGAACCTGAGATATGTAACATGTGAATTATATGGAAATGATCTACGTGTAAGTGAACTATGTGACTATGTGATTATATGAAAATGTGATAATGAGCTATGTTAAAAAACTATGAGACTACGTGCCCAGGTAATATGAATATGTGAACATGTGAAATGACATAAATGATAATGCCCATGTTATGTGTCATGAGAGCTAGGGGTATAGTTGGCATGCCAAGAGTCGAGGGTCTACGCGGTCCTTCGGGACATATATATATTCTTTGGAACATGTGTGAAGTCTTGTGAGACACATAATTGATCCCTAGTATATGTATATGATTCTTAAGGAATGATATGTGGTCATTATGGACATTATTATATGGCACTTCGGTGAATTTCTACGCGGTACTATAGTACAATTCTACGTGGCACTTTGGTGCATTTATACGAGCTGTGGTGACAGCATTAGTGCACAACCTCTATAGACTCACATATATATAGTTCTCACATGTGTTCATGGGCTAATAAAAATAATAAGATAAATAAACTTGGTATGATTATATGTTTATTTCGTTGTGAACTGATATATGTGCTATGATGTGATAATTAAGGATATTATGGATAAGAGTATAAAATTATAAGGACTAATGTACAAATTGATAATAATAGAAATGATTGTACATAAATATGTATGTTTTGATATAATGATATGTGTGTTTCTCGTAACATGGTACAAGTGCATATATATGTTGATGTATATGTAAATGAGCTATATGATTTGATAGCATAAAACAGTCATGCATGATTAGTGGGTATGAATTTCATTATATGTGTTTTTTATGCCTCATTGAGTCATCGACTTAGCGTGTGATTGTTTCACACGTAGGTTACAGAAGCGAGAAGAGAAGAGAATAAGAGTAAGACAGGTCAGCACCTCCCTTACAAAATTTCAGATCAGAAAATAGAGGTTTTAAATGTTTTGGTCATTTTGAGTATAGTTGGCATGTACTAATTGGTTGAATTGGTTATGCTCTTTTGGGTATTGTGGTTAATTTATGTAACTAAACCGTTTTTACTTTAATGAAATATTTAAATTTTCTTTGAATTTTGTCAAGAGTCAAAGTTTGAAAAGTCAATGTGACACCTCAAACTCGTATCCGGGTCGGGTACGGGTTGGGGTGTTACAAATGGTGTGAAGATATGATTGTTTCAATCAAATCTTCAACTGAGAGATTGTTGAAAAGTCAGCAATATAGGCACTTTCATGCACTGAAATTTTAGTTGAATTTTGGAAATGGTACAATCTCACATTTAGTCATTGTAATTTAGGGTATTTTCAAGATTAGTCCTTAAGCTTCAACTATAAATACCCTAACCCATTTAGCTTCAAAATCATCCCAAATCATTCTAGTTTTCTTCCAATACTAGATAATTTAGAGAGTTTCTTGAGAGTTATTTTCTCTTTTTTATCAAGAGAGAATTATCATTATTTTCTCTTTGGTAGATCGAGAGAAATTGTAATTCCTATTTTCTCATAGTGAAATTCTTCTACCGTTACCCGTGGTTTTTACCCTATATTATTTAGGGTTTTCCACGTAAATTTTGTGTCTCTTTTATCTTCATTTTTTTATTTTCTCAAATTATCAATTACAATTTTGCTCTATCCGATAGCCGTCTTCCGCAACATTAACTTCGCTTGTAACCTGTACAGTCTCCGAGAATGATGATGGATCATCCTTAGTCCATATACCTTTAAGCTCACTCGATACATTGCCATCCAATGTTGTACCCGAAAACAAACTTCCTCCATACCTATTATTACTACCACTTGATAACCTCTGGAGTGACACCCGGCGATCAACGGTACGATCGTTGATTACGGCGGTGGTTTCTAGAGGAGGAGGTGAAGGCGTCTGCGGCGGAGCTGGTTCCGGACGTAATAACAACTGGCGATCTTCATCGTGATCGGTAGTTGAAGAGAGACGTCGAGAGAAAGGCTTCACATGACGTGACCAGTCAACAATAGCTTTTCTTCCGATGAACCAATCTATTAAAGCAGCCAACTGTTTCTTTTTGGAGTGAAGATTTTCATCCGTGAAAAGATCTGACTGAGGAGAGCTGTTGTTGTTTACGTTGGACTCAAAAACCGGCGACGTCGTGAAGTCTTTTGGATCATCAATCCTCGACACTAATCTGTTGAGGTCATTTTCACCAGCAGCAACATTGTTTGTTGGGTTTGGTTGAGGGGCTTTTCCCCGTGATCATCCAACAGTTGTTTGGAAGATACATCGAACCCAGGATCCGGAAATTGGCTCGGGAAGAAGTAAGTCGCTCGGTGAGGCATTTTCTCACGGGCCTCACCAGATCACTTATCTCTCTATTATCTTCTTCTTCTTCTTCCAACTGATCTGCGATCAGGGAGTATTTGCTCACACCGTACAAGTTTTGCAAAATCAAAGAACACGAAGATCGCCACAAACGCAAGCCCTATGGAAACGAGGATACATCAAAGATCAAATGAATGAATGAGAAACGTAAAGTTTGTTCGGATTTGGAAGTGAAAGCGGAAAGAAGAAGGAAAGGAACTTAAAAAATATTGGTTTTTTTAGGTGAGCGCTATACGTGGAATAATAGGTGGGAAAATGAATAAAGTATTAAAATATAGAGTTGGGGTCAGCGGTGCACACTACTGTCTATGGCGTTGGAGAAGTTATACGGTGTGGCATGAAATTAAGGTGTTGTTGATTTTGTTATTTTATTAAATAATAAAATCGATAAAATATTACTTAAATATTATTATTTTTATTTAATTCATCAATTTTTTTAATATTTTCGGTAAAAATATCCAATAATAATAAAATTGATAGCGCCTAATAATATGTCCAGTTATTTTTACCAAATCCGGTAAAACGCTTAATAATAATAAAATTGGTAGCACCTAATAATGTTTCCGGTCATTTTTTACCAGTTTTGTTATTTAAACAATAAAAAACCGATAACGATTTTTTAACCGTATATTAAGACTGTCGCACATAAACATTTTCCTTTAATAATATAGCGGCGATTGAATTCAGTGTTAGAGGAGAGAAATGGGAGCTTATTGGAAAAATTATTATTTATATTATATGTATGGCTGTGGGGAGCATGCACGCGTCACCAAATGACGAAGATAGTATTCGTGCGGACGTGTCGAAGACACGTATTACCACGACCACGACCACGACCACGACGGGATGAGACGGACGACGGCGGCGGTGCGCGAGAGTCCATCTTGTTCTCTTTCACTCAACAAGGAAGTGAGAAATACAAGCCTTAAATACCCATTCTCAATAGTGTTTTTAATACTATGTGGGATTGAGTATTACCAACACTTGTTTCCAATGCTAAGTTGAAACATTTAACATTTGGAAGTTAGAACACATTTAACCAAGTGAACATCCTTTCGGTGTCCAAGATAATTAAGTGACATTTGTAATCGAGTTGGGAAAACTTGGTTTGTTTTGCAATATTTAAGTGATATTTGTTTTTAACATAAGATCTTATTTCATTATTACGTGCCAGGATGTATACAACACATTGAGGTTAATCAAATGTATTTTGTGTTGGCTACATGGTGTGATGGCGACATCGTCGGGGAACACGACGAAGTGTTTATTCTTGTTTCACATCATCTCTTTTATCTTCTCTTAACCCAACTTTCGCCAAGTACATTGCCTTCTCAAGCATTGATTAAATGTGTTCCAACTTTATTATCTTGGCCATCGAAAGGATGTTCACTTGGTTAAATGTGTTCCAACTTCCAAATGTTAAATGTTTCAACTTAGCATTGGAAACAAATGTTGGTAATACTCAATCCCACATAGTATTGGAAACACTATTGGGAATGGATATTTAATGATTGGATTTCCCACTTCCTTGTTGAGTGAAAGAGAACAAGGGGGACTCTCGCGCACCGCCGTCGCCGTCCGTCCCGTCATGGTCGTGGTAATACGTGTGTTCGACATGTCCGCGCGGATACTATCTTTTTAGAGAAAATTCTTAAGAAACAAATGCATTGCGATTTTGGAGTATCGCGTTGCGAATTTGACTTTCGCGTTACCTGAGTTGCGAATTTGTTGGTCATTTTGGTAAATCCAAAAAAAATTGATTAAAATCGTATATTATAAGACATTTTTGGTCAATTATTTATACTGAAATTTGTTATTTTGGGTATTTCAAATTTGGAGTACATGTTGTCAACTTGGGGCTTTTTTTTAAATAATGACGTTGTTTATATATTAATTTTCTGTTTTGGGATATGTTCACTGACTCATCTAGATTATTCCAAAGTTGTTTAAACTAATACAAATTGTTAATTCCAAAATCTTTTGACTTAAAACAGGATCAGATTGTCGCAGGCTTGGCGGCATTTCTTGGACAATGATTAATTTTTTTAATACAAATAGTTAATTTTATTAAAAATAAAAAAATAAGTTAAAAATTTATAATTAAGTTAAAAATATAATAAAGATATTTTTTAAACCTAATCAAATAAATTTAGATAGAATGTATATATATGATGTAATGCTCTGAATTTTGGGTTAGAAGTTACGGGTTTATTCAAATATACCATAGAATAAATTTTCTTTGGCTTATGAAGAGTTGGACCCAAGTGGGTTTGATTTGGGCTTGAGATGGGTCCAATAAGAATTAAAAAGGGTGTTTTTAATCATAAACCAAATGAGGAAGGACTAGGAAGTTAATTAGACCAATTTTTAATCAAAGGCTGAAACTCCTTAATTGTTGATAATATCACGTCAGAAAATCACTCCTCTTTTCACCCTCAAGCTTTCTTCTTCATCTCCTCTTCCTTATCTTCTTCATCTCCAAACATCAAACAAAGCTTTGAACTTTAAGGTTTCCAAGCACCCTTTGAAACTACCAAGGTAAGAGCTACAAACTACTCCTTCCAAGCTTCAATTCAAGCCTCTAATTACAAGTTTTGGTTGAGTTAGCAAAAAAGTGGGTTTAAGTGGGGTTTAGGAAACCTTAGGATTTCAATAAAAGTTTTGTGTTGTAGAAATCGTTCTAGCATCACCCTAAGTTTCAAAATGATTTAACAACTCATTTTTCATGGTTTTGATTAGTGGAAGAGCAAGGGGAAAGCTCAAAGGCAAGAGACAAGGAAAAGTTAGTCCTTGGGTGATTCAAGAACATTTTTCATCAACCTAACAACAAAGTAGCATGATTCTAACTTGTCCATACCATATGTAGGTCATTAAATGTGCATAAATGGTTAGTTTGGCTCATGAAACATGCTAGAGTAAATCCATGGTAAAATATGCATTTGATGTTTGTAAGCATGAAAGGTGACTCCTTTTGACCCCTAAGAACTCAAATAAAATTCTAATAACATGTTTTAGGCTTAGGGGAGTGGATGGGTGAGGTTGTGATGCAATTTCGTGCCTAATACTTGAGGGTAGTATCGATACTCCTTCAAAGTGTATCGATACTTGTGGTCCAGTATCGATACTCAAGGGGTGGTATCGACACCAAATGTAAAATAAGGATTCCAAAATTCATTTTTTGGTACCGACACTCATATGAGTATCGAAACAAAGGGTAGAGTATCGATACTCCCCACAAGAGTATCAATACCAAGGTATTTTTCAAAACATAAAAGGTATTTTTGGTATCGATACTCAGGGTGAGTATCGATACCCAAGGGTCAGTATCAATATTATTGGCACAATATATTGTTTTCTTTTTTGGGCAATTTGGTTCATTTGGTTTGGGGGTTTGGGCTTAGGTGTTTTGAGATGGTATAAGCTTTAAGTATTCGATACAAGTGAAAACAATCAAGTTAACTGAAATCACGCCTAGAAACCAAGCAAGTTAGGATGACATGAGATTGGCTTCGTATGACGCTCGGGAAACGGTCAGAACACTCGAGTTACTCTAGCATTATGACGATTGTCCTACGTTTGTGAAATATTTAGATATTATTTAATCATGTACGCAACCGATGCATGTAAAATTTTGGATCGTGCCCCTATGCTCGAATAGGTTCAGGATGTGAGCTTCCGATGTACGTAAAATTCTGGTCCTCACCTCGAATTCTCGGGTATCCGAGATAGACTGGGGCTATAAGTTTCGATGCACGTAAAATTCTGGTTCTTACCCCGAAGTTATCTTTAGATAGGCTAGTATGTCGTCCGAGATGCACGTTAAATTCCTCTAACCACATCACTCGGCCTATCTCATGTTTGTTTATGTACTTTTGCATATTCATGACTTTACGCACCAGCATGTTCATGTAATGAATGCATGTAGTATTGCATAGTTGTTTTCGTGACACTGAGCTTGTGAGCTCAGCGTATGAAATGTGTTTGCGTGCACAGGTCAGTAGGGGATCGACGACGAGCATATCATACAGATAGATTCCAGATCAGTCGTTTCATAGTATGTCTTGACTCTGTTAGAGGGCATGTATTTATGTGGACCTTGTATTTATTTGAGTCAGAACTCTATTTTGATTTAAACTTAATGGTTGTATTTGTACGTATTTGGGAGACTCCTATATTTTGTAAACTTGACGGTGATTTTGTTATGTTATGATGAATGATTTTTATATCTTATAAACGTTTTGAAAAAAATTTGGGTTGACCATTTCGGTAATTTCGTGTGGCATTGAAATGCATGGATCTTCGGGTCAGGCTGGATTAGGGTGTTACATACGAACATATCTGATCGTATCGGTAAACAAATCACAAAAGGGGATGAAGTTATTGAAAGGTCACTGACAAATCGTAAATTAGAATTGAGCGACGTGAAATATACTATCCACGAAAGTAAATCGTATATCCAAATCCAATATGAGGGTCCAAAACATGGAAGATCAACATGATAACAAATAAAGCATTATCTTGATCAGTCATGAGATGTCAAATCCAACCCTAAAAAATAAACAAAAATAACGGTTGAAGACGTATCATAAACACAGAGAAAAACGTGTCATAAAAGCAGAAGAAAACGTGTCATAAAGACAGAATTATTAAAAACAAAAAACAAGAAAAAAAAAATAAAGATATGCTATAATAAAAAAAAGAAAAACAATGAATATTGAATGTCGACGATCAGCACCAAGGTTGATGTTGTCGATTGTCGTCAATCTAAAAAATAAAGAAGAAAAGAAACTAACAATGACTAAGAAAAAAAAGTAGGACTATTGGATAAGGATTAAATCAAAATGTAATATGATATAAAAATAATATAATATTTTAAAAACCTATATAAAATCATTAATATGTTGTTACGTTTTATTTTCACAAACGTCATTAACAGTACAATTGTAGCGCTTACTTTAGCGGGCTGCCTGCGACCTTTTTTCTTATGTCGGAAGAGTTTTTAATGACGCTTTAAAATGTTGTTATAGAGGTTAAAAAAGGCCGCCAAAAATATATTCTGTTGTATTAAAAGTATAAGAACATGTAATAAATTAAAACGATTATAATATAGCACAAAATGAAGAATTATTTTACTAATGTAAACTATACATGTGAGTTATTATTTGTTAAATAAAAATATTATGTCTTATATTATTTGCATTAATTATAAAATTTTAAAAGTGATATTATACATATTAAAAGGTATAATACTAGTCGTATTTAAATATAATATATTTAATATATTATTTGTTATATCGAGTTGCAAAAAAATATGTCTTCGGTATCAAAAATGATATTTTTCTCACCAAACTATTGGGGTTATAGGAATTTAAAATTTGATTTTACATTTTGTAAAATAATGAATGATTTTTAAGGACCACTAGAATAAAAAGATCGAATACAATTAATATATTAAATTTTATATATTCGTATTTTGTTTTTGTATTTTTTTATATGGTAACTGTATTTTAAAAATTATATCAAATTTAATAATACTTTAAGTTCATAATCATATATCTGTGTACTGCATTTAAATTTAATAGTCAATTGAATTTAACTTCATTAATATGTCGTTGATATAATTTATAGGAGGATGTGATATTGAATTCATATTCATTATATGGGTCTATTATTGATATTTTTAAAGTTATTTTTTTATTAAGCCAATGTGATTATAAAATAACATTTGTTATAAATATTCTACCATTTGATAATGAATGCTTAATCACATTGATGTTGTCATTGGTACTCGAACCCATGATATCTAGAAATAACAATGATTCTCTTAACACTTAAATAAGTTGGTTTGTGCTTAAAGTTAAAAATTTTAAACTTTGATCATGATTATTTTAAACATTTTAAATAATTAAATTTAATAAAATATATATTCAAAAAATATTTGATTTAATATTTTTTAAATATATTTTTAAATTTTTATCAATAAATGAATCTACAAAATTGGGGAAAAAATGGTGATGGATTTAATGGACAAAGGGAATAGTATTTAATATTTGGACAAACTACAAGTTTAGTACTTAAATTATTATTTGTTTCATTTTAATAGTCAAACTTTTATTTTTTTTAAATCACACATAGTGTTTACTTTTTATTTCATTTTAGTATCATACCATTAAAAACTTAAAGGATCTTAATATTTTTATGGGTAAATTACATCATTCATCACTCAACTATCTTCTCAATCCTATTTTGGTCATTGAAATTTATTTTTTAATTTGATCACTTAACTTTCAAATTACTCATATTTTAATCGCTCTAATTTATTTTATTAATATTGTTTTGACATGACATCTTTTAATTATTATTTTATTAATATATGATTAAAATAAAAAAGGAAATGACGAGTTGAAGAGGCCTATAAGAGGGAGGCTGTGAGGGTGGGATGAGCGATTTGTGATTTAAGGTTTGTGGTATAATTTAAGGTTTATGGTATAATTTTTGGGTTTAGATATTGTCACACCCAGAAACGATTTGTGATTTAAGGTTTGTGGTATAATTTTTGTGATTTAAGGAAATGACGAGTTGAGGAGGCCTATAAGAGGGGGGCAGGACGGGCGCCCGCCCAGGGCCCATAATATGCAGTCGGCCCTGCCCCATGGGGAAGCTTAAGTAGTCCGTACAAGAACATATGAACTAGCTTTTGATAAAGTCAGGCAAGCACCACGAAATGACCTGTTTTTCTTTGTAAATCTCGATCTATAATTTTTTATACGAACTATTAGGCCTTTATATGCTTCACCCGCTCGCTGAACCTTGGCATTTAATTGAGCCCAACTCCCGTGTGGGCTAACGTTCTGCCGAGATCGACACATGGGACCTAGCGAAGAAAATTACATTGTTGACTAGTATGAAATTATTCCTTATGTTTCTCTATATTCATAACTAAATATGATTTGTCACTTTTAAGAAGACGATGCAAAGAATTGTATAATGTTTTGGTATAATGCGGTGGACCCCATATCCATTGATTATTGAAATAGTGTTTGGCAGAAACTTCACTTGTAAATATAACATATTGATGTATTGAATATTGTCTGGGTATTTGCACAAGTTTACTTTGTTGTAATCATAGTAACATGTTTTTTACATTATATGTTACGATTGTTAATTTGATGGGGGGAAATAGTGCAAGCTTATGCCTTATGATTATGGAGCTCATGAAAACAAATGGGTAAACACTGTAGTTTCGTGTTTTAGGAGATGATCTTGTATCTCCTACCATTTTAGCAAGATCTAGTACTATTATTCGTGGGAAGTGATATAGATTAGTTGATATAGGTGTATCCCTTAACATGTTTGATATATTTAACATGTTATGTCATATGTTGTTATTTGTAAAAATGTTCGTGAATTGTGTATATATATATTTATAAATGTGTGTGAAATGTCTGATTTCTGAATATTGTGAAATTACCATTTATTTGCATGTTGAGGCATTTCTAATATCTGTATGGGATTTATTCCCTAATCTATTCTGTATGAGATTTGTTCCTGATCTATTCTATATGTGATTTGTTCCCTGATCTGTTTTGTATGGGATTATATCCCGTTCAGTTTCTGTTTGAGATCTTTTATGGAGGGTAATATCCCCGTTCTGTTTCTAATTTCTGATGAGTTCCTCCTTATAGGTTAACTCAACTTCCTCTTCGGAGGGTAACGCCTCCATTTTGATTTCTATTTTCCACTCTGGATCTACTTTGGAGATCTTAGATTTCCTTCAACAGGTAGTATTTTCCATTATGTTCGTCTGTAACGAGAGGTAAGGTTGATGTGAATTATCTATGATTTTCTGGTAATAAATATATAGTTTTGTTGTTACTTAATTATTTTATTGTTCATATAACATGCCTGAAATATCTGAATTATTATTTGCATTTAGAGGACACATAGGGTTTTGTAGTTCACTCTGTTGTTATTTCTATTTTCAGAATATTAGGATGCATAACCGATTTGTTTATTGGAGGAGTAGTCTCGATTTATATTACGTGAGGTTAAATTTTTGCTTTCAACCTCTTTAAATTGTGACATGTGTTTATTCTGAACTCGTATTTGGTAAATATTTTAAAATGGTTTATCAAACAAATTCCAAAAACTATTTCTAGGATCGGTGCACTACTCCGATTCAATTGTAACTTCTAGGTCGGGTCTAGGGGGTTACAGATATCATTTTATATTTAATTTTTTATTTTAATTATATGTTAATAAAATTATAATAAAAGTTTCATTTCACAAAAATATTAATAAAACAAATTAGAGTGATTAAAACAAGAGCAATTTAAAAGTTGAGTTGTTATATTAAAAACTTTTAAACTAAAATGAAACAAAAAAGTAAATGTTAGGCATAGTTTAAAAAAAATTAGGTACAAAAATAAAATAAAAGTGATAGTTTAGGTATTAGACATGTAGTTTAACTTAATATTATTTGCATTTACACAATAACCATTCACTCTGTAAAAACGAAATTCAGTGCTTCTGTAAAGATCTAGCTTTCAACAAAAGTAATGGACTCTTATGGGATGATTTTATTTTATTTTATGGATTCCATGTATTATTATATAGTTTGCGTGACCAACTCCTAAAGCAAATCATGGCTACATTTTATAACCATTAAAATGTAGCAAGTGACGCTCTTATTTTCCTTGGCAAAAACTTGTTCAAACCTGTTATCTAACATCAGCTTCATGGACAATAAATTATGGTCTCTTGATTGCATTGGAGGATGCAGGGCCCTCTAATCGAATGTAATCATACATGATCCCTTGGAAAGGACTAGTGGCTTTGGGTTGAATTAAAGAAATGATGTTATGGCCTTGGAGGAGCAGATTCCCCGGAATATCGACGTTATAAAGCCGGTAAAGCCCATGGATGCCGTGCCTGGCTATCGTGTTGTCTTTACCAATTTGTCCACTTGAAAACAGAGGTGAGTTTGCATCATCCTCGTTCACCCTTACCTGAAGCTCAGCTGCGTGTGCAGTAGCCAATGCCAATCGCAATTTGTACGTTTCGGCTTCTTTCGCGGCACGGTCTAGTTTGAACTTGATCTGCCATGTTGTTCCTCGATAAGTGTTACCGTCGTCCTTCCTGCGAATCGAAAGAAAGGTTCGTAGACTCTAAAGCCGGAAATGTTGATCGAAATAACCCCAATTCTAGTGGGGAGTACCTTGTGACCTGAGCAAAAAACCAGTCTTTTGTATAGTCACTGACCCCAACTGTGTAGACCAAATCTCCATCGGGATATAAATCTGCATATCTTTCCCATAACCCATACTGCCTAAATCTGCAAATAATGATAACTTATTTGTGCCGCAAAGCAGGCCAAATAACCCGAACCTGACTGCGGCCTACATGAAGTTGTAAATTGGAGGAAAAGAAGCTAACCTGTCGGGATGATTGACATATAATTTGTTGATGAACATGGGACTCGGATCGGGAATGTAAAATTCCGCGGCAGTTCGGTCCGGGATTCCGATTTCCCACAACGTAGGGCCATCTCTTGGAGGCTCGTATACTAGATCGCCCATGTAAGTATCATACCCTGCAGCAGAATGTTACGAAATATATACTTCATGAGAAGATCTTATAAGGTTTCAATGGGAAAAAAACAAATGCAAAATTTAAGTAGACGACCTTCACATGGGGTGATGATAACATCATATCTGTAATCTCCAATGAAACCAGGGACCCAAGCATACAGATTATAGTCGGCAGTCCGAATATCGTTAATGCAGAAATAGCCATCTTCATCAGTTCTGGTCCAGAATTGATAGCCCTGATATGTGACAAAGGTGATCATGTGATGTTCATATTCAGACTAAACAGATTTCAGTACCCGACACGATTTGAATCGAAGTCGAAACGAATTCGTATAAAAAACGTCTCGAATTGTAGGCATTACCTTGACTTCACTTTGCCAAGATCCAACATCTCCAGGGGGTGCTAAGCCCACATAGGCACCATTGGCAGGTATGTTCTCATTGCAAACATATCTGAAGATCAATTTGAACGAAAAAAAGCCTTTAAATCTGATCAAATGATTCCGGTAGCCGACGGGGAATAAGAAAATGTATGTTCGATTGTTCATAGTCTAAATGATTCATAAGTGTAGCTTTGAATAGAACAGCCCAGATTAGGTGAATTACCTATCTTTCACTAGTAATCTGCCACTGACATTGCCTCTTTGATCAGACTGAAGAAAGTCTTCTGAAGCAGGGAAAGTATAAGGCCAGCTTTCAACTTCAATCCTCATCTAAATTCAAAGTAAATACTATTCATATTCCTCCAAGTATCCTTATCTGACACTCGTGATAATACATATTGAAAAACCGTCCAGAGTCGTATCGGATGTTCATATCCGACATAGATTCTCGAGTTCGAGTAACATAGATTAAACATGCAAGAAGAAAATTAGACTGTATTTAAAGCTGAACCTGTTCTTTAGCATCTTCCCAGAGTGAAAGAGGGTCATCTCCAGGATCCGACAAAGAATTAAGGTAGATGAAAATGGGGCCAAAGACTTTCTTCCAAGGCTCATTAGTTCCAAATTTCAATAACAAATCTTCTCCAGAATAATGAACACTGTGCATAACCTGATCAATTGGTCGTAAGATTGTAAATAAAGTAAGTATTATTGTGGTTTTAATAGCACAATTTCAATGGAAGATGTTCATCTTTTAACGAACCGATCTAAAAAAAATAGAGAGCTCACAGTAAGGGTGGTCGGTCCGACATGTGAGGTAAGGTTCTGCTTGAGAGGCCCCGCGGATCGAAACTCGTCGCTCGGTGTTATTTGCCAAAACCCCACCGGCGGGTCGTCGCAAATCCAGCCATGCACCCTGTTGCTCTTGTTCTCACACGAGTATTGGTACTTGTCATCAACCTAGACAAAGTCCGGGATTAAACTCTTAAAGTATTCATATCCGATACATATATGTTCGACTCGTAAATTTGGAACAACCTCGCCTCTAAACTCGGGTTCCAACGGATCAATGAGTAGGACAGCCTCTGGATATGCCAGGGTTTGGCTTCTGTAAGGTAAACGGTCATCAGGCAGGGCCATGTATCTTTGTCTGTTGTCTGCCATTGCCATGTAATGAAACCTGTGCATTTTAAACAGGTTTCAAACTTGACTCATGAAGGAAATCTGGTAATAAAACACATACATTCATGCATACATATGTATATGCATACTTGTCTTTTCTCAGCTTGAATGCAACCCTGAATCTGTCAAGGATGAAAGCAGGCCATTCCCTCAAGTGCTCGAAAATCGCATAGGTGTAGAATCCAGAGGAATTACTAAGCATTACAAACCTGAAAAACAGAACATAATTTGTTACAATTTCCCGTCATCATGTAACATAGTTCAAAAACATTATGCTCCGAGTCCGATGTGTGAGTACCTCTTGTCGATGTTCAACGGGACGACTTCACCTTCGAGGGACTGATCCCATGTCCGAGTAAACGAAAGCTCCACCTGATCTTCATTCTCCACTATAACCTCTAAACTTGTTGCCTCAATCCTGCATAAGCACATACGAAAACCTACCTTACTTGGATCGTCGGTTTCGTTCGAAGTATCCGTGTACGACATTCATGTCCTAAGCATATCCGAACCGGAATGAGAACACAAGGTTCCGATTTCGAATTTACCTGTCGAATTTACCCTTTGTCCCTTTGCTTCCTGCTAGATTCCAGACAAGGTCCCAATACCCTCTATCAGCTTCAACGTTTTCAACAGCAAGCAAATTGTCGATGCCATTATATTGAATACCGGTGACAATGCCACCTGGATTCGATATTGTCACCTGAAGTGCACCATTATCCATCACCACCTGCAAAGTCACAAGCCGGAATGAAGATTGAACATTAAACAAAGTGCTTGTCTTAAGAAAAAAAATTTGGAAACAGACGATGAAAACAAAGAGTATATTACATATTTATCTTGGACATATAACTGAACTCCCGGAGAAGACATTTTTCAAGCCCGATGGAAATGTAATTCTGAAAAAGAAGAAGATGGAGTGAAGAGTGTTGAAATTATGGGTAGAAACGTAGTAAAAGAGCCTGTGAAACCCGTGACAATAATTAGGGTTTTCAAAGTTTTTGGATGTTTCCAAGGAGAATGTAGACATGTGAATGGGTTAATATTACTATATTTCACCTCTCATTATGACCATTCATGTATGGCTTCCATTTACTGGGAACTTAATCATTAACTTTCCTTTAACTTTTTCTTCTATATTCCCTACCACACTTGTATTTGAAGTAGACCAATGGCTTGAAGGTTTGGTTTTGAACCTTTGCATTTCTTACAAAACATGTCAAGTGCTGCTCAGAAGCCAAGTTTTGAAGAAGACCGTGTCACTGTCCAATTGTATGCTAAGTTGTTTTCTCTGTCATCAATTAACCCCAACGATAAAGATAACATGTAACGCAAAATTATTAGAATCATTTTTTTTAAATAACACTCAAATAATATTATTTACGAAAATAATATTCTTTGGACACAAACGTACAACTGTTTGAAAGATTTGTATTTGAAGAAGATCCTTTGTTTACGTGATAGGTCATCTGAGTGATTTCTCCAATGATGATGTCGTTTGTGACCAAAATAAAAAAGATAGAAATGTTAAATAAAAAATTATATAAATTTTATTAGAAAGAATAATGACCATTGTATAATTTTTAAAACACTAAATTAATCCCAAAATATATGTTAGAAAAAAATAGCTAGTCAAAAGATAATGAGAAAGTTAAAATTTAATTCAGTATTAAAAAGAATAATTACCATTTGTGTAATATCACTTTAATAAGTCTATACTTTTTTTGCAATTTAATTTAACAGAATAATTAAAAGTTTACCGATCAAAAGAAATAAAAAAAATATTTTAAAAATTAAAATTAAATTGTCATTATATCTTTCGAAAACAATATTATTATATCAAAACTTTAATGTTATTGTCAAAAGGAGCTGCGTAGCCAACAATGTCTTTAATTGGATTTGACTGATGAATAGTTACAATAGTGTTGGAAAATTTAAAATTATTATATAATTTAAATTTTTAATAATTAAAAATATATGGTTTTATCTTTGAAATTTATTTCATAACATAAAATCTTACGTACATTATTAATACTATGTCTACCAAAATTGATGAAATATATTTTTCTAAATAAAATTAATCTATTTATCACACTTGTTTTCTTAAAGCATGACGATTATATGTATTCATTTCAATTTAGCCCTATTAAATAACTATTTAATAATTAATTTATTTAAATTTAATTACAAAAGTATATAAACGACAAATAATAAACTTAATTCACAAACTGACCAACCTTGTTTTATCTTAAACTTTTTCTTTCTCGCTTTAACCTTCTTTAAATCATTCTCGTTTATCGATTTTACACTCAAAGACAAATTTAAAGCAATGAAAACAAGTCAAAAAATAAAACCACGTAACACAAGCTAATTGGTCCAAATTGTTCAAAAGTGCAAAAATGAGAAAATTAGTACACTTTAAAGGCCAAAATAGAATAAAAAGTTTAAGGTGCAAAGTGAGAAAAACAAAGAAATAGGTAAAACTAATCTATGGGCTGAACTTGAATAGAAAAAAATATATATAAACCATATATAAGTCACAATTTGGTGAGGGGCATGTAACTTGAATTTTTTTCGATTATTTATTTATTTTTATTGAAGGTGTTCATCATAAAAATTTTCGTGCTCATCCTGATATCTTAATTGTATTCAATTAGTTACTTATTTTACGTACGGTGCCCACCTTAAAATTTTATTCATATCAATCCTATTTAAAAAATTTATGTTATTAATATATGTATGCTCACCCTGAAAAATATTTATAATCCCTCGCTGAAAATTGGTTAATATTTTAATCTAAGTTTATGTGTTCTTTTTATTAAAGAAAACACATTTACATGAATACAAAATTATAACAATACTAATGCGTGTCAAAAATTTAATGGTAAATTTCATTGCTTAAAAAGCCGATGCATGGTGTCATGCAAATTTATATTTAAGACAACGCTCAAAGAGAACCTTTCAGCCCATTCAGTGCAAATTATCATCAGGATCGCGCCAATTAGGGCACAAGGTTCAAATATCAACAATACCACATTCATATTAGATTTTTTTTAAAAGAAAGATTATTAGAATATTTTCGATACATTAGAATATTCAGTGTTATTGTGTTATAATTTCGAATAAAATGCAGTAAATTATGACAATCCGAATGAGTTCTGATGCCAGCAGTACTGCAGAAATGGAATGTGTAGTTCTCTAGCTGGATTTACATAAAAGAAACTAATGTACCTGACTGTTATCTGTTTTCTTCTGGAAAAAAAAATGATCCTAGTAGAACAGCTATGCTGGTTATTGCAATCGTGAATAGAATTCGTCTCCTTGAATAATCCGGTTGCTCTGGTCGCTGCCGTCTTGAACTGCCTTCTTCTCTTTCAATTGCCCTTGCATCCCTAAACGGTCCCAAATGCATTGATTAAAACTAATGGCAATAGCTGCAGTTCTCTAGAGATATGGCAGATAACAAAGAGATGAATTCTGATACGGCTTTCACATAAATTATGAACAACATACTAATCACAATCAATCTAGTTGCAAAGCATACTTAAAATCTCAGACTTTAACCGGTGGTCTTCACAGAAATAGAGGTACGTTCCTTACAATAATCACGTGGCTCATGAAATCATTGATTGCACAGCATGGCTTGATTCTGGACTGAAATAAATACTTTCTAACATAATATGTCTTGCTCGTCTAGTTCAGTTGGTAGAGCGCAAGGCTCTTAACCTTGTGATCGTGGAATCGAGTCCCACTTAGGGCAATTCATAACGAAAGTCTTCCACGAAAGCTGCTCTCAATCTGGTGTTGGGAGCAGCCTACTACCCTACCTTCCCTTACCCCATTACATATGTGGTCAGTGAACAGGCCACCTGCTTGCACAGATATGTGGTCAATCGCATCACAAATGTTAAGACATGCATCATTCTTGTCTTTTAGGCATGCACTTGCACATAACATACAGAATTGATTCATTTCAAAAGAAAAGACCTACCGGAGTGTGAATGTTCAAGAAGTGTTCCTCTGCATGCTTTTTTGGAATCATATCACCACAAACTTTACATTTTTCTAGATTACGGGGCAATGAGCATAATGCAAATTGATCCTCCACAATTTTCCTCCTCGAACTTTCGTCTTCTCCTATTCCTCCACTCCACTCCCTTCCCCTTCCCCCACTTTCACCCCCATAGAGAAAACTTTCAACTTCGACCTCCCCTTAGACGGCCTTGAAAAAAGATGCCTTTTCGGTTCATTATGGAAATGATCAAGTTGCGATCGCTGGGTTCATTTTGTTTTTCTTGAACTACTCGACGTTTCTGGGGAAAACATGGTTTTATATACATGATTTGTTCGTCAGGGAATGCTATCGAAGGAAAGGGTTGGGAAAATGTTGTTGTCGGCGGTTGCGAAGCAGGCGATGAAAATGGGATACGAGAGAGTCAAATGGGTGATTTTGGATTTGAATGTAAATGCCATTAAGTTTTATGAACAAATGGGTGCTAAAGTCTTGCCTGAATGGACGTTTTGCAGGCTTACCGGTGATCATCTGGTTTTTACGTGAACACAAAGGAGAAGCGGCAAAAACAGTATATTTCAATTGATTCGAGAAATGGGTTTAAGAAAAAATCGGTTCTGGATTGAAGAAATTGAGATTTCAATTGGATTGTGGAGTGCATTGTATGGTTTTAGTTTAGATAATAGTAGTAGTAGAAGAAGAAGAATGGGGAGTTGAGACAAATGTCATGTGAGTAAAAAGTTAACTAAGATAACAGTAGAGATAGAAATGATAACGAAGTGAAAGTTCGATGATTGTATTGCAAGTTTAAGAAGTTAAATGACCAAAATGCAAATACCCTAAAAGTTCTTATCAATATAGTGTGTAATCAAATTGGTAGGAGCAAATAAACTCTCTTGAATAAACATCTTCTGATGAGTTTCATAATCTAACATCATCTCAGTCATAGTTTTAAGAGAAATCAACTACCTAGAAGCAATAGTGATTACCGACTCAAACTCCATAGAAAGACCAGCTAACACAACACTAACTTGTTCTTGTTCAGTGACTGTACTGCCTTAAGCATTAAGAAAGTCATAAATTACCTTAATTCTAGCTAGATACTCAGTCACTGTTAAATCACACTTTTTCTGTATGTTGTTGAGTAATAAAAAACCTTCAAGAAATTTTGAAATTATCATTTCTCAATCAGTAAAAAAGGATGATTACATTCTCACATACTTTCAGCTTATATAATAGCTTTTACAAGCTTGAAAAGCCGCTTAACAATATTTTGTTATAACTAACTAGCTTCTAGACTCTTATTAATTCTAGAACCATCTCAACTAAATCATGTATGAGCATGCATGGAAGCACGTCTGGAACTGTTGCATACATATGAGTGCAGTAACTCTCAACATTCTTCATGCTTCTTCTCGTCTTCAGCAATCAACCAACCTTTTAGCTTATCACGAAAGCTGATGAATGTTGACTTTGACAATGGCTTGGTCAAATCATATGTAGTTTGAGGTGCTGCTAGAACATAGCTCACATAGAGCTGATTTGCTGCAATTTTTCTCGAACAAAATGAACATCTAAGTCCACATGTTTGGACTGTGAATGATATACTAGATTAGCACTTAGAGCAATTGCACTTGTGTTGTCACACCATATAGTGGACTGCTTATCTCGTGGCACCTTCAAGTCAGCAAGCAAAGCATCTACCCACGCTACCTCTGCTGCAACATCTGCAAGACTCCTATACTCAGCTTCCATGGTAGATCGTGATACTACCTTTTGTTTCTTTGCACTCTATGACACTTGACTGTTTCCAATGAAGATGCAGTGACCAGACATTGATCGTCTGTCGTCAGCACAACCTCCCCAGTCAGCATCCGATAAGGCTGAAACTTGCAATCTTCCTAGTACAAAAGCAAGGCCATAGTTCAGTGTCCCTTCCAGGTAACGCAGAATACGTTTAGCAGCAAGTAAGTGTTGCTCTCGAAGAGCATGCATATACTGGGCCACCTTGTTCACACTGAAGGCAATATCGGGTCTTGTATGACACACGTAGAGTAGTCCCCCTACCAAACTACGAAATTCACGAGCATCATCAAGCAAGTGTCCTTCATCCTTATTCATCTTGAACGATACGACCATGGGGGTGGCCGTGGACGTAGCTTTGACTATTTGTGCCTTCTCAAGCTCCAAGATGTACTGTTTTTGACTAAGAAACAGTAATTGATCACACCGTTTCACTTCAATACCTAAGAAATAATGTAACTCACCTAAATATTTTAAGGCAAAACGGTTTTTCAATAGCAACACCACTTTCTCAATTCCATGAGCTAATTGTCTTGTGACTATTATATCATCCACGTAAACTAAGACATAAGTTGACACTCATCCCTCCGTTAGAACAAACAACGAAGCATCGACTCTAGACTCCTTGAAACCAAGTTGAAGCAGATTGTTCTTCAATTTAGCATGCCAGTTCCGTGGTGCTTGGCGCAAATCGTACAAAGATTTTTGGAGCTTACAAACTAACTTACCACAATCGGGAGTAAATTGCTCGAAGACAGGTGGCAGTTGCATGTATACATATTTATACAAATCACCATGAAGAAATGCATTGTTGACATCCACCTGTCTCAACGACCATCCTCTAGACACGACAAGAGCAAAAATGAAATTCAGTGTGGAAAATCAAACAACATGACTGAAGGTCTCCTTGAAATCTTTCCCGGGCACCTGAGAGTACCCTTTAGCCACCAATTGTGCCTTGTATCGTTGCACAGACCCATCAGAATTATGCTTTATCTTAAAAAGCCACTTACAACCTACAGTGGTTCACCCTTCGGGTAGTTTCACAAGTGTCCACGTGTTATTACTCTGAAGTGCAGTAAGTTCTGCATGAACCACTGCACTCCACTCTTTAGACTTCATCGCTTCATCAATGGATGTAGGAAGGGAGTCATTCAAGTAACTGACAAATGCCTTGGGCTTAAATATCCCACACTTGCTTCTTGTTAGCATGAGATGCTGATTTGTCAAGGTCATATTCTGCTCAGGAGCAAACTGCATGTGGTCATTAGATAGATGTTCAGACGCTGCAGGAGAGAACGGATGGGTTCTGTATCTCTAGGTTCGGTTGTGCTGTCTTGTTCAGCTAAATTATCAGCAACACCTTGAACACTGGAACCTGCATCATTTTGACTACTAGAGTCTTCATGCATATGCGAAGACGTGTGAGAAAGCAGTGAAGATTCAGCCACAACCCTTGCGTGTACTTGTCTTGACACAATCGGTAAAGGTGTTTATTGCCACGCACGAACATCAAATACACAACCAGATTGTTGTTTTTCTACAAACGGAAACACATCTTCATCAAATTTGATATGTCTCAAAATATACACTCTACCATCCTGAGCAAGACATTGAAATCCTCTATGTTGAGAGCTGTAACCCAAGAACACACACGGGGCAGACCCAAACATTAGCTTATGCAATTGAAAAGGCCTTAAATGAGGAAAACAACGACAACCAAACACGCGTAGTGACTTGAAGTCAGGTTTGGATCCAAATAATTTTTCAAATGGTAAGACGTTACCTAACACCTTTGTAGGTAATCGGTTTATCAAATGTGCTACTATGGTCACAGCATAAGACCAAAATCTGAATGAAAGGGCTGCCTGAGCAAGTAGTACAATGGTCAGTTCGATTAAATGGCGATGTTTCTGTTCTACAACGCCATTTTGTTCAGAGGTGTGAGGGAATGTAATTCGATGAGAGATACCTGCACGAGTCAACTCACATGACAGCTGCCTATACTCATCTCCCCAATCACTTTGAACTGATTTAATGTTCAAAGAAAACTGAGTTCCAACCATTGCGTGAAATAATCGAAATGCATCAAGAGCTTGAGATTTATTTTTGAGCATGTAGACCCATGTATGGCGTGCGCATGCATCTACAAATGATACGTAATACCGATAGCCACAAGAGGGAACATGTGCAGCACCCTAAAGATCATAATAAACTAGTTGAAAATGAACGTTATAAACTGTAGCAGAGGAATCAAAGGGCATCTTGTGGCTCTTTCCCATGCAACAAGCAACACAAGTTGAATTAAGAGAATTTCAAATATTGATATTGAGCGAAGTACACACATCTTTTAGTGTTTAAAACAAAGGGTGTCCTAATCTCCTATGCCAAAGTTCAACCATACTAGAAGCAATAACAT